ATGATTCTAAGGCAATGGTGTCAGTATACACAAGTGCCATGAAAATTCAGACAAACAAAAACCCAGCATAGAACTTGGGAAATGAGCAGCAGACCCCAGTCTTAGCTGAAGAAATATTGGCAACTTATTGTTGTTAGGTGAGGAAAAGGTGATCTTCCTAAAACAAGGGATTCTAGATAGGCTAACTAGACCTCAGTGGATGGACATGTACTGGGAAACATCTGGGGACACTGACTTGACACAGTGGACCTTAACACAGATGACAGAGTATATGGGTTCCAGTGGAAGGGTAGGGAGGGTGCCAGTAGGGATGGGGGTATAAAGATGATTAAAATTGTTTGAGATGTTCTGTATGAAATGCACAAAATTTCAATAAAAACAAATTTTTTAAAAAGTACCTATCCTAAGCTGGGCCTGGAGGTTGAAGCAGGAAGATTATAAGTTTAAGGTCAGCCTACGCTACTTAATGAGCTCCAGGCCAACCTGAGCTATTTATGGGGACCTTGTCTCTGATGAATTTACAGTAATGGTGACAGCATACACAAGACCGAGGCAAACTGAATCAGACAAAAACCCAGAATAGAAGTGGGGAGATGGGGAAGAAATCCCAAACTTAGCTGAGGAACTATTGACAGCTAATCACTGCCAGGTGAAGGAGAGTTGGTCTTCTTTAACGGAGTGATGCTAGTTAGGCCGAACAGACTCCAGTGGATGAACTAGCACTAAGGGACATCTGGGTACACAAACTTAACTCAATTGGCCTTAACATGTATGACAAAAATGCATGAAGTCCAGTGGGCAGGCTATAGTGGGGCTGCAGATAGGGGAAAGAGGTCTAAATATGATTAGGATGTATGAAATGCACAAAAATTCAATAAAAAATATATATCAGAAAAAATGTAAAAAGAGGGCTGGGGATATAGCTCAGGCAAACAATGTATGCCTAGACTGCATGAGGCTGGAGGCTCAGTCCTCAGTACTACCCCCATGCCCCCCAAAAGAACTCCCTTTCCTTTCTTAGAACCATGGTGCAGCTAAATTGTCTTTCTGATTTGTCAACTTATAAATCCGAATTACTTTAACCTTAGTTTCAAGATGCAAAGAAGCTTCTAGAAGTAATTTCTTTAAATCCCTGAAATTATCAGTTGTTAAACAGTCATTCTTTTCCTAAAATACAAAAGAAGTTGATGGAAGTCATCCAAGAGAAACACTTGGGCTTGTAGAGAGAAGCAGGTTATTATTAAAAGCCACAGTGGTCATTAAGAAAAATGAAGTCACAGTTAAATGTCTAGAATCCATGGGATGCCTGTGGCCAAGGAGAGGCAACCACAGTCTTCCCCAAGGCAATGAACAGTCACCTATCAAATAGTGTTTGGTGAGAATGCCCAGTCTGCAGGCAAAGTAGTTTCCTGAAAAGGGATCTGAGCTCTAGTGTGGTACCTCTTGCTTGCAGAGCTGGTGACCAGCACAGGGGATGTGTGAACTGGTAACTGTCAGATTTGAGGCTACAAGCTGATCAAGCCATGCCCACCTGCAGCAGCCCTTTTCTTACAGCTGCTGTGGAGGGAATGAGAAGCCCCCTACTAAGAGCATGTCTGTAAGTCTTAACCCCCAATAGAATCCCCAGGTGCCTAGATTCCAGGAGAATGGCAGGTGCCATTCTCCCTTCTGTGAGGAAGTTTATAGGCCCAAGTTGCGAGAGTCCTGGACTTCAGAAGGCCAGTGGCAGGCCCATCCCCCACCTGTATAATGAGTACACCTTAACTAAATGTGCCCCTCTTCTCCCACATTCTCAGAATAAGGCATTCCTTCCCTAGAATCCCCTCTCCCCCTGCCATCCAGCAATCAGAGACAGGCTGACTACATGAACTCCTCCCATTCCTCTGAGACCCATAAGACTGGGAGAACCTCCCCCCACTCTGCCTCATGGGCCTGAACTCAGAGCCAAGCTGCCTGTCTACCTATGGTGTTGGGGACTGAACTCTCCTCAGAGCCTCTGCTGTTCTGTTACCTATCTGCATGTATATCCATGACATTAACAACTCTTGTAATAAATCTTTTAACCAAAAGGACAATCTGCCTCAGTGTGCCCCTTTAGCCCCATACCTCCAAACTTTCAGTAACTTTGGAATTTGATGAAGAAAAACTGGAATTTCATGTGTGGAGTACTTTTGAGAAGTTCCTGTGAGTCATCTTTTCAAGCACAGTGGTACCATCCTAAGGTAGACCTTTCACACAGTTCCAGTAGCTCTTCCAGGAAGAGAACAGTCCTTCAAAATATCAGGAGTTGAACTGTCACCATTACTCTATAAAAATTTCAAGAGGAGCCCATATCAGAGATCCCTAGCTTACAAAACACAAAGAGGCAGGTGGAAGGAGCCACACTTTCACCCTCTCCCCCACAATTTCTTTCCCTCTTTAAAAATAAATAGGTTTTTCTGTGTTTCCTATGCCATTTCTTCCTCTTAACATTTCCTTGAAGATCTTAGGGGATGTATACCACAGTGACGGAAGGCAACCATTGATCAAATCTTGGTTCTCTTGCTTTGAGTCCAAGATAATCATGACAAAATTGCCTTGCCACATGTACCACTGATCCTGGATGTATCTTTGTTTTAAGAGGCAATGTAGAATGCAGTGATATGTGTGTAACTTAGGGAGCATTAGGCAACCTTTCAAGTTCAGTCCTGTAATCTATAAACCAAGAAAAAGTGTCCCTCACAATATGATTTAGAATAAAACTTTGTATACTTATAAACAAACTATGGTACAAACACAACCTGGAACGTTACTCATTGATAAATGGAATGAGCTGTCAAGCTGTGAAAAGGTATGCGTGAACCTAAAAGTGCATTTTTTGGGGGGGTTCTTTTTGAGACAGGGTATCCCTGTAGCCCCAGCTGTCCTGGAACTCACTATGTAGACCAAGTTGGCTTGGATCTCTCAGAGATCTGCCTGCGTCCACCTCCTGAGGGCTGGGATTAAAGGTGTGCATCACCATACTCGCAAGAATTTGCTTTCAGGTAGCATTTATAGGGTATCACTCCAGGTATATGCCTTAACAATGGAGGATTGCTGGTGTGTTAATTACTATTAATGAATTAAATATGTGCTTTGTGAGCACCTATAGAACACTGTTTAACATGAGCAATTCTTTGACTCTGTGTTGTACAGGTGAAGGTCCTCAGTTATAAAAAAAACAGAAAAAAGGAAGTTGGAAAAAACAAAAGAGGAAGAAAGAAGAGAGAGGACAGTGAGGGGGTGGGAGGGGTGCCCTGGGCCGTGGACCAGCACAGCAAGGCGGAGAGCTCACAGCCTCAGTGGGTCCCGGAGGCACCTCCGACTCTAGAGTGCCCCTAGTGGACACCGGAGAACAGCGCGGTTCTCAGGCTCTGCGAACTCAAAAGTTCCTTCCTGGGTTCTGTCATTCAGCCAGTCACACTGGGGTCCTAGAACAGCCTTTGCAGCGCGTGCCCACCACTCACTCACATGGCAGGGGAAAGGCAGTCCAGGCTCAGGGTAAGGTTGAGCCAGCGGGGCCTGGCCTGTTTCCATCCCAGAAAATCATTTCCAGCTGCTTATGACCTTGCCCATGGTCAGGACTTGAAAACTAGAAAGCTCAGCTCTTTATAAAGTCATGAAGAAAGCAGATAGGAAAAC